GAATCCAGCCTACAGACCCTGTTTATCCAAATAGATTAGTCTCAAAATTTAAACCATATTTCATAGAGATGCTTTCTGCCCCGCCATCCCGATAAACGTGCATCCTGACAGGTTTATATGTGTCTTCGAATATATCTATGCCCCTAGGTAAAACTGCCAGAAGCCAGATTAAAATAAAACAGGCAGGGCCAGGACAAAATAAATAAATAAATTTATTTTAATTGAACTAATAACTACTAATTGAAATTAATTGCCTATAAAATAAAGAGCTCAATTTATAAAAGTAATGGATTTCCCCCTTGGCGTGGTCTAACCATTCCTTTTTCCTCACATGTGCAAAGTCTCTTTGCAGCAAAAGGAGATTTTTTTAAAAAAACAAAAACAAAGGAGGAGAGAAAGCAAGAAAGAGTAAAAGGGGAACTAATAAACTACATGCTGATGAGCCAAAGAAATGGGGATACTACACCTGGGAGGAAAGAAAAGAGAAACAAAACCTTGGATTGCTAGAATCTCCAGTTAGCGAGTATGTGGGGTGGGGTGGATGGGTGGAGGCAGAGAGTAGAGTTAGGAGACTGGCTAGCTTGGAATCCCTGCAATGAAAAAGAAGCGATGTAGACCATCCCTCACCCTTCTCTGGTTGTTTCCAAGAGAGTGTGGCAAGTTTGGTGAGATTCTTGTAAATAGGTGAACAGCCTTCTGGAGTTCTAGATGCTCCATCACTGGAGGGTTTTAAGAAAAGATTGGACAGTCACTTATCTGAAATAGTATAGGTTCTCCTGCCTGAACAGGGGGCTGGACTAGAAGACCTCCAAGGTCCCTTCCAGATTCTATTCTATTCTATTCTATTCTATTCTATTCTATTCTATTCTATTCTATTCTATTCTATTCTATTCTATTCTACTCTATTCTACTCTACTCTACTCTACTCTACTCTACTCTACTCTATTCTATTCTCAGACAAACTTCGTAAGGCTCGTGATTTTGTAGGTGTGGGGTCCACGGTGCTCTTGGAGCTTGGTAGTTTCCTTGCAGACGTTTCCTCACCCAACTAGGCCCCGTCATCAGTGCTATTGATGTCATCTACTCTGCAAGTGAAACCTCGGCAAAAAGCCACCAACCTCAGAGAGCGCCAAGGGCCCCACAGTTCCACCCTGAGCTACAAATCTTCTCTCCTCTCAGTTGTAGGGGTGCTCCAGTGTTACCCACCATCCATCCTGGGGGACAGGTGCATTCTCCGGTGATGTGGTGGCAGGTCCCTCCATTTTGGCAGGGGCATCGCTGTTCGCACTGGACTCCGTGGCTGCCTGGAGGACATGGCTCTTCGCAACTGCTCGGGTTGGTTGCAAGAAAAGGAGTAGGGCAGCAACCCAGATCGAATAGAAAGAGAGAGACAAAACAATTTTGTAATTTACAGCACCGTTGCTCCAGGGTATACACAAATCATTCATCATGCAGCCGGATCCCATTGACCATATTCAGGGCAAAATGTAGGTAGCCGATATTTATTGCTCAGAAAAGGACAGCTTTTCTTTCAAAACCTTTTGTTTACGTTAACAGATCTTTATCCCCAAAGAAAATCACTACTCTGGCTCCCAGAAGGACTTTTTTTTTTGCAGGGGGGAAGATTCAGGAAATGGACAGTCACAAGTTGAAGCTTCCCAAATCCTAGCTGAGGCTTTCAAAGGGTTTGAGGCTCCTAATACAAAAAATAAAAAGTAAATGAAATACAGGTAGTAAGTCCTCAACTCACGGCAGTTCATTTAGTGACCATGGAAAGTTACAATAGCACTGGCTTATGACCATTTTTCACACTGCTGCAACATCCTCCTGGCCATGTGATCAGAATTCAAATGCTTGGCTCATACTTATGACAATTGCAATGTCCTGGGGTGAGGTGATCATGTGAACACAAGAAGGGGAGGCCAAAGTCACTTTGTTAAGGTATTGAGATTTAAGAGCTGACTAGCTGTAAAGTTGATGCAATGTAAGGCTGATGCAATGAAGGTGAATCAGCATTGTTATTGCCGTTTTTAGACTAAGAAGGGGTCCACAGAAGTTTTGCCACTTTAAGAGGTGTTTATATAAGGCAGCCATTAGTGGGTGTATTCCTCTCTCCTTGTGTCATGTCTCCATTGTAGAGTTCTCTGTACAGAGTTAAGAAGCTTGATTGCTCATCAGGTATTTGCCTACCATGTACTGTATATTTCTGTATATAACTGTCTTGTAGATAAACCACTGTTAAATGACAAAGTCTCTGTGTGCTGTGTTTTGCTCCTGGGTTGTCTCACAATAGTTGTATCCATTGTGGTGATTCAGTTAACAACTGTGGCAAGAAAGGTCATAAAACCGGGGGCAAAACTCACTTAACCACAGAAATTTTGGGCTTAATTGTGGTCGTAAGTTAAGGATCACCTGTATAGCCTACCAGATACATAGGAAGAATACAAGTGTCTTTACGCATGGGATGCGAATGCATGTTAAAACAAATTCCACTGAATCGTGATGAGCTAGACATGCATATTTTTCACCTAGGAGATCTGCAGAAGAACCAGTTCTGGCCAGGGTCAGTTTTGGGCAAGTGTATAATCTTCCCCTCCAATTGAATCCACAACTTCCCCAGAAGCAGAAGGAAAACATTTCAAATTGTTTGGCAGATTCCTTTATAATCGAAACCACCTTTCAAAAGTTTAAAATAAAGAAAGACGATCCCTCTGTTTTACTTTGTAAAATCTCCAGGTAATCCTCAACCTATGAGCACATTGGAGTCCAACATTTCCATTGGTAAGCAAGACAGTTATTGAGTTTTGCCTCATTTTACGATGTTGTTTGCCATATTTATTCAGTGAATCACTGCGGTGGTTCAGTTAGTAACACGGCTGTTATGTGAATCTCCCTTCTCCATCGTCCATTTATGTGGACATAATATACTTTGACTTCAGCAAGTCATTCGACAAAGTAGACCACAACCTACTTCTGTGGCAAGCTAGAAAAAAGTAGGATAGATAGCATCCACCAAATGGATTTGTAAGTGGCTGACAAACCGTACTCAACTATTAGTCCTTAATGGTACTACATCTACATAGAGGGAAGTAAGCAGTAAGGTACCACAAGGTTCTGTCCTAAGCCCAGTACTATTCAATATTTTCATAAATGACTTAGATGAGAGAATAGAAGGGGAACCCACCAAATTTGCAGATGATAATAAGCTGGCAGGAATAGCTAATACACCTAGAAGATAGGCTCAAGATCCAGGTGAATCTTGATAAGATTTGGACCCTGGGCCTGATCTAACAAAATGAAATTCAATGTAGAGAAAAGTAAAATCTTATCCTTAGACAAGAAAAATGAAAAATACACATACAGACTGGGGGAAACCAGGCTTAATAGCAGTAACTGTGAGAGGAATCTTAGGAGTCTTAGTGGACAACCAGTTAAATGTGAGTCAGCAGTGTGCAGCGGCAGCCAAAAAACCCCAAGGCAGTCTGAAGCTACATTAATAGAGGGATACAATTAAGATCAAGGGAGGTACTAAAACCACTCTATAAAGCCTTAGTAAGACCACAGCTAGAGTACTGCATCCAGTTTTGGTCACCACACTATAAAAAAGAGGTTGAGACTCCAGAAAGAGTGCAGAGAAGAGCAACCAGGATGATGAGGAGACTGGAGGCTAAATCATACGATGAACGGTTGCAGGAACTGGGCATGGCTAGTCTAGTGAAGAGAAGGACCAGGGGAGACAGGATAGCATCTTCCAATATTTGAGGGGCTGCTCCAAAGAGGAGGAAGGGGTCAAGCTATTTTCCATCGTTGTAATGAGAAGAAGCATTCAGGTAAGACAACGCTCTTTTTCCAAAGCATTTGAAGGCCAGACAAGGAATAAAGGATGGAAACTGAGGGGAGACTTAACCTGGAAATAAGGAGACATTTTCTGACAGTGAGAACAATCAACAAATGGAACAGAAGTTGTGGGAGCTTCATCACTGGAAGCTTTCAAGAAGAGACTTGACAGCTATCTGTCAGAAATGGCGTAGGGTCTCCTGCTTGGGTGGGAGGGTGGACTAGATGACCTACAAGGTCCCTTCCGCCGCTGTTAATCAGTTAAATCTGTTAAAATCATTGCTTGTCAAAAGGTCACCCAAGGTGATCACATGATCCCAGGATAATGTAGCCATCATAAACGTGAATCGGTTGCCAAGCATCTGGATTTTGATTACCGTATGTGACCGCAGGGAGGTTGCCACAGTGTGAAAAATGGTCATAAGTCACTTTTTTTCAGGGCCATTTTAACCTTGAACGATTTGGGGGTAACTGCAACCCCCATCTATTTCTCAATCTAAGCTGGTGGGGGGGGTTCTACGTTTTTAAACAGTAACAAAAATAGACCAGAAATCTTAAATCTGTACCCTAAGAGCAGACCACAAGCAGAGGTGACTTACTGCGGTCTGCGAACCCCTAGAGAAAACTTCACATCTTTGTCCAAGGTTGGGAAACTAAATAAAACTTGGAGAAGTCAGGCAGGATCAATTCAACGGACATATTGAAAATCTAGATGGATGGACTCACAAAGGGGTTGCAGCAGCTGTTTTATGAATTTCTAATCTGTCCTAGATCCCTAATGTTCACAATAAACGTTTATAAATATTTACAAGGAAAACGAAATCAATAGCCACTGTCTCAGGGAAGCTGTTTTGAACGGACAAAAAATAAATGTTTTATACTGCCACATCAATTCACAGGGAATGATGGGTCTATTAAGGCATATTAGCATAGGGTGTCTGTTTGGAAGCCACCGTGGCATCAGAATGCTGTTGTGACATCTGTGATGTCACTTGTGCCCCATGCTCCGTGAATGTGCATGGATAGGAACCATCAGGGATTAAAGAGAAATAGTCCCCATAGTCACATGATCAAAATTCAGGCGCTTGGCAAATGACTCTATTTATGACGGTTGCAGTGTCCGTGGGGCCTCGTGATCCCCTTTTGTGACCTTCTGACAAGCAAAGTCAATGGGAGAACCAGATTAAATGAATAGAATATAGAATAGAATAGAATAGAATAGAATAGAATAGAATAGAATAGAATAGAATAGAATAGAATAGAATAATGGAATGGAATGGAATGGAATGGAATGGAATGGAATAGAATAGAATAGAATAGAATAGAATAGAATAGAATAGAATAGAGCAGAACAAAATACAGAATAGAGTGGAGTAGAGTAGAGTAGAACAGAACAGAAGCTGAAAGAGACCTTGGGGGTCTTTTAGTCATTAGCAAGTCATTGACAGACTTCCCCCCTCAACTCTGTTATTATGATCCATTTGTTGCACAGTCAGCCAGATGTTCAGACTGGATTTGCAATTTTTGTCCACCTATGGAGTTCTTCCCAAGGACCTGGGATACATGGGCTAGGCAGATGGCATTCTTCGATAATGTTAGAGGTGAAGGTAAGCTGCCCTGACTGTTAGTTTGTGCGTTTTGATCAAGGTTGACTCTTAGCAATGGCCTGAGATAAGTCCCTTCAATTTTCTTGGCGTTTCTAGGTGATTTCTAACCCATTTCTAATAATGGTTTGCCCTTCTCTTCTTCTTTAAAGAGCCAAGGTGGCGCAGTGGTTGGAGTGCAGTACTGTAGGCTACTTCTGCTGACTGCCGGCTGCTTGCAATTTGGCAGTTCGATCCCGACCGGCTCAAGGTTGACTCAGCCTTCCATCCTTTCAAGGTGGATAAAATGAGGAGCCAGATTGTTGGAGGAAAGAGGCTGACTCTGTAAACCGCTTAGAGAGGGCTGTAAAAGCACTGTGAAGCGGTATATAAGTCTAAGTGCTATTGCCTTCCTGTCTTCCTTCCTTCCATAACTCTGCCCACTGTCAGCAGTTCGATCCTGACTGGCTCTAGGTTGACTCAGCCTTCCATCCTTCCCAGGTGGGTAAAACGAGGCCCCAGATTATTGGGGGCAAGAGGGTGACTCCGAGTCTGGCGCTTAGAGGGGGTTGCAAAGCATCGTGAAGTGGTATATAAGGGCTACCGCTATTGCTCTTAGGGCTGAGAGAAAATGACTGGCCCAGTTGGCTTCATCTCTACAGCAGGACTTGAACTCACAACTTTCTGGCTCCCAACCCGAGGCCTTCACCTCCGCACAAAACTGTCGATTCCATCCCCTGAACATAAAGTCCGCAGCCCCTTGACTTACAAAACTCCCGTGTATCCAGGTGCACAATGACATTCTCCTGTGTTGTGGTCACAGGTTGCCCCATTATGACACTGGCACTTGAGCAGGCAGCCTTTCCCGTAAGTTCCCGGCTCGCACAAGTCCTCGCAGCGCCATCCTTTGTACCCTGGTGCGCACACGCAGGCACCAGTGATGGGGTTGCACAGGGCTCCATTCCGGCATTGGCAAGGGTTGCTGCAGTGGGGGCCCCAGTGGTCCTGATCACAACCTGAGATGACAACAACAACAACAGGAAGATCCTTTGAGGAGAACTGTCAACCACAACACCACATTTCGTTTTTTAAATACACATTTTTAAAACATACATGAGTGCTTAATAAACAGTTTATTGTTTGAGTCAATACAGTTTACCTATACATAATAATAGTAATTATAATATTCTTTAATTATATGTAATGGTATTCTTCGAACTTCTAATTTTTAACTTTATTATTAGATTAGTTTTAGTTTACTTTATTGTCACTGAACCTCGTACAACAAAATTAAATACCATCTTCAGTGTACATTATGACTATGAAAATAAACAAAAACACACATCCTTCATATTCTATACACTGAACTGAAAATCCTTGATACTGCATTAATATTGCACCATACAGTAATAAGAATATATAATATATTAATATACACTATATATTATCTAACTATTGGTAAAATAAATCCCAAGATAAAAGATATTCTGTGTCTTCTTTGTCCTTTATCTTTAATGTTAATCTATCCATTTCCGCACACTCTAATATTTTTTTAATTATATTTTCATCTGTAGGAGTTTCTTCATTTTTTTTCAATGTTGTGCAAATACAATTCTCCCTGCTGTCAAAACATGTAATGTCAAATATACATTCCCTTTCTCATATTTTTCTGGCAGTATATCTAGCAAAAATATTTCTGGTTTTAAACCTATATGTTGCTCTATCATTTAAAGCAACCATGTATGTATTTTTGTCCAAAAATGTTTTGCCTTTAGACCAGGGGTGGGATCTGACAGGGTTAACTACCAGTTCAGTCATTTACGAGGTTCGGTGATTGATGATGTGCTTCCCTGCATGCTGCCGGCGCACACCTGTAAATCGTCATCAGCATGCTGCTGTGCAGAGAAGCAGCCTTTCAAAAAGCCCTTTTTTCCTGCTTTTTTAACTGCAGCTGTGCCTCGCATGGCAGCTGAAGTTGAAAAAAAATCAGGAAATAAAGGTCAGGTAAGAGCCCAGGTGGGTGGGTGGGCAAAAACATCAGCAGACATAGAACCGGTTCTTTGTCTGCTGCTCTTCTGAGCTACCGGTTCTACAGAGGTGGACGGAACCGGCAGAAATCCACCCCTGCTTTAGACATGTTCACCACATGTGATAGTACGAAGTGGGCAGGGGTGGTCTTCAAAAATTTTAGCAAGGGGTTCTCTGTGTGAGAGGGGGATATGTGTGTGTGTGAGAG